CAGTGCTGGGTAAAATAGGGACAAACCCAGCAATTGGGTTGTTTTGACCCAGCGGTTGGGTTACTACCCAGAAGGTTGGGTTAAACATTTAACCCAACCGCTGGGTCAAAACAACCCAATTGCTGGTTTTGTCCCTATTTTACCCAGCACTGGATTGTATTTAACCCAGCATTTTTTAGAGTGTAAGAACTTACGAATGGCTGGTGCGACCCTACCCTGAATTCTAAACTAAACACTTAACAGTAGAATATGTTTTGCTGGCAGTCATGGAATTTAGAGATGAGGGCTGTTCTTCACACAGATACTAATTTTGCAGACTACTCTATTCACATGCTTCTGTGACACGTGAAGAAGAAAAAAAACAGTCTGTTAATAACTGTTCATAAAAGTGTGCAAAACATACCCCATAGCATAGTACTACTGGGTTGCAACAATTCAAGTTTTTTGAAATTGTATATTCGTATGTTAGTTTAAAACATTAAGGCTGGATTGCACCAAATGTAAAACTAATTAGCATGTTAAAGACGTAAACTAGTGGAGTGTTTGCATGCTCAGTTACGAGTCCATTTCCATCTCTTCTCACTATCACTTTGCTTGTATATTGTTCCTGCTTTTAGTTTCTAAAAGTAAGATTAAATTCCGCATGATTCAAAATGTGTTTAGTTTTTCCCTCCTCACACACTGACTATCAGAATCGGAATCCCTTTAGGTGGAGCTTGACTTTTAGGAAACTCTATGTTAAAGAAAAGCATCTACACAGCTTGATAAGCCTGACATCCATAGAGCCCTTAGTTGGCAGCTAACTGCTCAAAGTGGTTACACAAATGCATTGTATCAGCCGCATAGGGAGAACTCTATACCAGTCGTAGTGGTGACAGCGCGTGCTGGAGTCGAATTATCCTTTTTGTTTTTCCAGGTAGGATTAGAAGGAGGGGGATATGATATCCTTAATAGAAGCTGCCGCCCCATGGGCCTGACTGCTGATCTCATCTCTACAGACCCACTCGGGTACTCATGTAGCACTCATGTGCTCTCTCATTCCTCCATTCTATCTTTCATTCATTTATTTTCCTCTCTCTTTCATCCGCTGTCACCCAAAGGGAGCATATGTGAATTGATTTAATCTGTGTGAGCCGGGTGGAGATGCCCGAGAGGTTTCTAGTGACCCGTGAGCCATAACTGAGAGAGATAGAGAGCGTGAGAGGGATGAGAAACAAACAGGTCAGACCAACACGGATTACAGAATGAAAGGCTGGAGGAAAGAGAGGGTGAAATATGAATGTATATTCAGTCAAAAGTTTGGAATAATTAAGATTTTTTAAAATGTTTTTGAAAGAAGTCTCTTATGCTCACCACTCTTATCCATTTATTTGTTAAATATTGTGAAATAGTATTATAATTAAAAATTTAAAATTCTCTTTGAATATGTTTTGTAAAACGTAATTTATTTATGTGATTTCAGCATAATTTCTCCAGTCTTCAGTGTCACATGATCCTTCAGAAATCATTCTAATATGCTGATTTGCTGCTCAAGAAACATTTATAATTATTATCAATGGAACAAAAAAACTTTTTGCGGAAACCATAATACACTACCATTCAAAGTTTTTTTTTTTTTTTTAATTCAGCGAAGGATCAAATAATAATCAAATCAAAATAATCAAAATGACAGTAAAAGCATTTATAATGTTACAAAAGATTTCAAATACACATATACATGATGTTTTATGGACTTTCTATTCATCAGAGAATCCGGTATGAAATGTATCATGGTTTCCACAAAAATATTAAGCACAAACACCTGAAAAATATGAGAACTATTATTAATAATGAGCACTGATAATACTTAACACAACAGATGCTCTTTACCTGTCCTGTTTGCACAAAACAGATGCAGTATTCATCTAAATAAATGTAAAAAAATGCAAAGGGGAATACAACACATATTATGCAAACCTAAAATAATACTTTAAAATTACAAATATACTTTGTGCGTTTAATCTCACTTTAATTACCAGTTTCTTTGCTGTTGACCTTTCATGATCAAATCCACCCATACAAATAACCAAAAATGACTATGGCTTAATTAAACATTTTTTGGTTTGTTTATTTGTTAGTTTGGCAGCACAGCTGAAAGATGTGTCAAAGTGTGAATTTGCGGTTCCTCCAACCTGACGCACATTCACTTGAGCTTTTGGTGAGAAAGGTCTATTCATCAGTGGTTCATTTCACTTTTTTGTGATGCGTTTGGTGTGAAATGGCCTTCAGAAGGCATCTGCCTACATTTCAGAACATCTTTGGGATTGCCGGTGCACCTGTGACGCTTTAAACGCCTCGCTATGTAAGCAGCTGACTAGGCTTTGGAACAGAGTTTGTTATTCTTCTGCTCTGCTCCTCATTATCTGCTCTTGACAACACAAATGCAGCAATTTATCTGCATCTTCATGTGCATTTGTGTCTGTCCCTGTTCCTTTACACAATTACACACAACATTCATCATGCGCTTACATATTATAAATTACGGTGTCATACATGACTGCAGGCAATTACTACAGGCTAACTACAGTTGACTAACATGCCTCTCCACATCTCCAAACACCTCAAATTTACCATATTCCATGTGTATTCCACCACAGCACGTCTGAACAAACCAGACACCATTCTCAGAGAAAAAAAAAATAAATGAGACAGAAAGCGAGCAATAGAACCAGAGGGCTAAGATAATTTGTTCACATTGTCTGTCCGGGAACCCTGTGGCGCACTGTGTGTGTGTGTGTATGTGTGTGCATTGATTGTGGCAGGGATGTAATCTCATTAAGGCTGCTCTGATTTATGGAGAGAGGAGCGATACGGGTCAGGGTTATGGAAACCACACCAGACCTCCTCTTTCAAACGGGTTATGCACACATGCAGGGGGCAACTGATTCTATACTCATGCACACACACACACACACACACGCACACACACACACACACATACTCAACTTACTGGTCATTATGGGCTTTTTGGAGAGCAAATGAGGGGCAGGTTATTAATCATAGCCTTTAACAAGGTGACAATGTTCTGTGTGCTAACCATCAGAAGAACAAGTGATTCAATAACACACACTGCTGACCAGAGCCAAGAGCTGAAGATAATAGATTATTTAGTGGTTGGGCAAAAGTGTGCTTGTCGATATATATACAGTGGTGTTTCTAAAGAAATAATGTATATACCCAGTCAGACTGTAAATGTCAATATTTAAAGGGTATTCACCATGGAAAACAGGTTTTTTTGTTGATCTTTTGAAAAAAAAAAAAAAAGACACATCTAAAGTTCCCTTTCCAGTCCAACCCAAACAACATTTATTGAAATTGAGCCAGAAAAACTACTTTTTCAAAAATCTTTATGGTATATTGAAACCAGAAGCAGGTAGGAGTGAAAGACTTTCACAGGTTTGCCAACTTTTCAGTGACATTTTTATTAACCAGAGGGTTACTAAAAACTATTCACCAGTAGTGGTGGAAAACATTAAAACTAAATGCAAATATATTGTTTTTGCAAGGAAAAGAACACTAACATTTGACCGCATTTGCTTTAAATAAATTAATAAAATTGAACATTCAGCAACTGAACTTGACCCAGCTGATGATGAATAACAGAGTAAACTATTAGGAAGGTTAGCCAATCGCAACAGTAATAATTTACATAAATGGTCTTAAAGGTACAGTAGCAAAAACATTAGGTTTACTTCACATGGTCAAAGAAAGGCTAACATTTATTAGTGTTTCTGATACATTTTCAAAAGTTTGAGGTCAGCAAGTTATTAAGATATTAAAACTTTTATTCAGCAAGGATATATTAAATTGATCAAAAGTTTCAGTAAAGGCATTTATAATGTTACAAATTATTTAAATTTTGTGCTTTTCTTTTGGACTTTCTATCCATCAAAGAAAAAGTATTATAGTTTACACACAAATATTGAGCAGCACAACTGTTCTCACCATTGACAATAATTATAAATGTTTCTTGAGCAGCAAATCAGCATATTAGAATGATTTCTGAAGGATCATGTGACACTGAAGACTGGAGTAATGATGCTGAAAATTCAGCTTTGATCACAGGAATAAATTACATTTTACAATATATTTGAATATAAAACAGTTATTTAAAATGTAATAATATTCCATGATATTACTGTTTTTTTTTTATAAAATAGCAAGCTTGATGAGCATAAGAGACTTAATTCAAAAACATGACTGACACCACACTTTTGAATGGTACTGTACTGTATAACGTTACAATAATTTATTACAATAGTAATTACAGTAAGTATTAATTAGAAGTACATTAAAGTATAATCAAGTAAGTTAATGTGCTTTTTGTGCTTGTTTGTTTTTTTTTTCTGAAAATTTGGGTTACAGGACTTTGACCCGTAATTTGCAACATAAAGTCAACATGCATTTGAGTGTTTGCGCGTGACATTGGTCTCACCTGGTACTCGCTGGGCCAGAAGGTGCTGACGGCCAACTCCACCTGATGCCACTGCCGCCCCTGAGAGCCGGAAACATTCCACACGGCATTTCCCCGCGAGCCACCGTTTACCCGCACATACACGCTCAGGCCCCCGGGACTGTGTCCATCACGGCTGTACAGAAAATAACTGAACTGCACACAGTGTGTGTCGTTCTCACTCAGCGGACGTAACATGAGCTGAGCCCGCTGCCCTGCACCATACTGAGAAGAGTTCACCAGCATGTAGGAGCCTGGAGAGAGACAGGGAGAGAGAGATTGTCATTTTCTTGATTCACATGGCACTGTTTGTTCTAGTTGCACTTTTGGGCAACACTTTATTTTAAGGTGTCCTTGTTACACATGTTACATGTACTTACTATTATAATAACAATCAATTATGCATACTTACATGCAAGTAACCCTTAGCCAAACCCAAATCCTAACCATATAGTAAGTACATGTGGTTAATTAATATTACTTCAGTACTTATATGTATAATTACACTGTAACATGTACACCTTAAAATAAACTGTAACCCCCTTTGGCTATTTATTTTGTTACACTGCACAAATTGCCGTGTTTATGATAAAACAGAACTACATGTGTCCAAGCAGTACACAAAAGTGTTGCATCATTCCTTAACGAATCAGAGTTTCTGAACAAAATGGTTGAGCGAATTGTATAATGACACACTTATTTAGACAGTCACTTGTTGCCACCTACTGCCGTAATGATGTAACCTTCAGAAAGAGTGACTGAAAAATCCCCAGCACTAATACACATAAATTACACTTTGAACTTTGTGTTGGGTAACAGAGATGGAGCTCCTGCTAAGCCCACATTTAGACACAGTGATCATAAATGATTGCTGTGGTGTTGGGGCAGGGCAGAGATCACTGTGGGTAATGTAGTTTAAAGCAGGTGTAATCAGTGCAGTCATGATGGCAGCTCTGCTTGGGTACTCCACCGTTATTAATCACACTGACACAGTTATTAAACCTCTAATGTCTGCCACCAGGGTACCACAAAAACTACATTACATACAGCGAGAAACTAACAGGTGCAAATTAAAGAAACCCCAACAAATATTACACAGACACAAACATAAAAAACTGAGTGTTGCATCTCAGTGACAAGTAACACTACTTTGATTACGCAATGTCTTGAGCACATTATCTGCTGTCTTTCTTTTGTTCTCATTCCTTTTTGACCCAGATTTGTACTTTTCCTTCCTTCAATGTGAACATATGGATTTTTTTTTTACTAGTTTTATCATTCGCTACGTGAAAATCTAAAGTCTGGTTTCTTAAAATAGTCCTCAAGCCACGTGATTTAAGGATTCACTCCTGTCTGTAGAACAAACAGTACAGGATGACAGATTGAAGAATAATAATTAATTTAGTATGAACAATAACAGATCTACAGTAAGTTTAATAGTGTTTCACAGATGTGACACTTTTCTGTAGCTTGACATGTTGTTTTCTAGAGTGGAATTCAGCAAAATTACAGCTTTCAATGTCAAAATAGGTGGCAGCCATTAACAATCATTTTGAGTCTCTTGCTTTTTTGTATTATTTTTGCAATTCATAAAAATAAACCCAAAGCTGTTATAACATCTGTCAGGAAGGCTCCTGCTCGGCTGGCCTTATTTATCAACTGAAGAACATCTATTCACTTAGAACATCACCCGAACCCACACAGATTCAATGAAACCACAGCGCAAGAATAGACAAGTAAAGTTAAAGAAATGAAAATAAGGATCCCAATCATTTGGTTGTGTAACAGATTGGTGCCGTGGCCCGGATATGGGCAGGACAGCTAGTGAAAGCTATATATATAAGAGTTGTAAACTTCACTTCCCTGGCCTCAAGAGGTGTGCTAGAGGTGTTTAGCATACTTCTTTGTGCAATTGTCTCCAATACCGGATGACACTGGTTCCAATCCCGCTCAGAGTGCTGTGAGTAGGACATTGGTGCCATGACCCAGATAGTGGCTAGTCTAACAAAGGACAGCTAGTAAGAGCTGTATCCGTTAACATCCTTCCCTGGCCTCAAGAGTTGCGTTAGAAGTATTTAGTGTACTTCTTAGAGCAATCGCCTCTCATGCCAGGTGACACTGGTTCGAATCCTGTTCAAAGTGGTACAAGTAGGACATTTGGTGCCATGACCCGGATAGGGGTGAGTGTAACAAAGGAAAGCTAGAGCTATATATGAGGTAAGCTAGAGGTCTTTAGTGTACTTCTTAGCACAACTGACTCCCATGCCGGGTGACGCAGTTTCTCGAAGTCAGAGCGGTGTGAGTAAGACCACTTACAATAAAAGTACAGCATATCTTTCCTCTTACAGAAAAAATACATGAACTTCACATGTTAATATCACACGCAAAATATGTGAGACACATGTGAAACCATTGTGAAAAATGTGGTTTTGGACTATTTTCTTGGTGTTATTGTGTGAAACCCATGTGTTTCACATGTATTTCACATGTGATTTTTACATGTGATTTCATATGTGAAGTTCATGTGTTTTTTCTGTGTCATGAAGCAAATCTAGCTAAAGGTCAAAACAGTGTGTGTAGAGGCACTAAACCCATTACTAGATTGACCTATAATAGAAAATTATGAAATATACCATGGAAGATAACAGATAAAACATTTACTACAGGGATATTTTTCCACATATTTTAAATATTGGAGATATTTTCAGTGTTTTTGCCTTAAGACCCTGCAGTGATTGTAGGAAATTGGAAATACCATATGTAAAGGCATTTACATGTAAAGGCCGAGAGCCGGTGGACTAAATGATAATGAGCGACACCTGTTCCACTCACCGGTCTCGAGTCCCACGGAGGAGCTCCGGAAGGATAAAAGGAGGAGTGACGACAGTGCAAGATGAGAGAGGACCAGGCCTCGACTATTTATGTTGTTTTGGTTCTGTTTGTGCGTGGCAGTTGTCCGTGAGGGGCTGCCACTTTTACTTTAATTTTGTGTTTGTTTATTTATTTATTAAAGTTTTATGTGTAAATGTTCGCTGGATCCCGCCACCTTCTTCCCCAAACTACGAACTTTGTTACATTGGTGCCGAAACCCGGGAAGAAGGAGGCGGGAACCGGCAAACATTTAAACACAATTTAATAACAAAGACACAAAACTGAAAATAGCGCGACAGCCCCTCACTTATCCTTCAGCTCCCACGGCTCTCGGCCCCGCCCCACTCGTCACACTATAGTACTATACAATGAACATATTCATGTTCCACAGTTTACATGGTAGCACAAAGTACTTAAGAGTAAGAATTGTATGGTAGTACCATGGTATATTTCCACCCGGAAAATGGCGCATATACCAAAAAAAAACAAAAAAAAAAACACATATGATTCAGTAATGGTAACTTTTTGTTACTGAAGCCCATTGCAAATAACTTTAGTTGAAGGTCAACAGCTGCCCTCCATCTGCATTTGAAATTTAAAGCATGTAGTTTCTTACGCTTGACTGTTTCAAACAACAACCCGCTGAAGAACAAGTTTGCAGCTCCATCGTCTGGAAGAGAACATGAGCGTTTGTTTTTAGACTGACTGTCAGGTTTGTATGCATGAGCGCTCCCGTGGAACGGACTTTAGAGCTGCGGCTTAAAGAGAACAGAGGATAAAAGAAGCTCCTTAAATCAAAAGTCCATCTGACAGGCTTTATGCAGATCAGCGCCTGAATGAGCATCAGGGCCTGCAGTGAATCGCTATGACAGTCACACATGAAAAAGTGGTGCATCCTGGGAGAACTCACAGCAACAGAATGAAACTTTTAGATATACTGGCAATTTTAGTACCTTTGAATGCAGCATGCTGACTGGAAATTGGATGCAATACTTAAATAGTTTTTGGTGGATCATAATTTGGTGGGTGGTGTGGGTTGCTCAGATTAACTACTAAAGTAACCAGTGTTGGGGAAAGTTACTTTTAAAAGTAATGCATTACAATATTGCGTTACTCCATAAAAAAGTAACTAATTACGTTACTTGGTTACTTTTTATGGAAAGTAATGTGTTACGTTACTTTTGCTTTACTTTTTAAATCTGGACAGGGCTTGCTTGTTTGTTTTTAAAATAAAAAAGTTCTATTTTTGGCAAATATAAAAGCCTTTTCACACCAAAAGTGAAATGAATAAGCCTCAGGCTGAAGGGAAAGTAAATTTACGTCCGTACAGTAGAATGCAGAAGAAGAAATTACAACACACTTTTTGTTTGTCTAGACTCTAGAGTAATTTGTGCTTATTAGTATGGTTGAACTGGATCATCGAAGGTCAGAAGCAAAGACACTGGTTAATAGAATGGGATTAAATACATAAAGGATATTTGTGTTGTTTAACATTTAATTATTGCAGGTTTGCGTCATATTCTGAGTTGCATTATTTTTATTCATTTTGAGGAATACTGAATCTGTTTTTTTGTTTTTTGTTTTTTTTTTGTGAGTGAGCTGAATTAATGCATATTCATATTTATTTTAGAACTGCAGTAACATCTTCTGATTTCTGTCACCATGGCAACACCAGAGCTGTCAATCAATAAATTGGAAAAAAAAGTAACTCAGATATTCTCTTGTAAATTAAAAAGTAATGCGTTACTTTACTAGTTACTTGAAAAAAAGGAATCTGATTACGTAACTTGTGTTACTTAATGCATTACCACAACACTAAAAGTAACTAACCTAATGTAGTTTTTCATGCTTAAAGTCAACAAGAAACCAGAATGTACTCTTATTTATTTTATAAATAAATGAGTACATAAATGTTATTTCACTATTATTTAAATGCAATTTTAGTTTATATAGTCTATTATATTTGTAGTTTATTCATATTTTGAATTAGCTTTAGATTTTTTTATATTGTAATTTTGAGTAATTTTGTTAAATTATTTTGCATTATTATTATTATTATTATTATTACTGCTGTTTTTATATTACTATTTAGCTGTAATTAATTTTAACTTCCGTTTTCATTCATATTTAAATTAAGCAAACAACTGTGGTGGAAAATTTGACAAAGAAAATAAAAGAAAATAATCAAATTAGAGGAGGACAGAAAGGACTGTAATGAACGAAAGGCTGTTTCATCTGTTTCAATGTTTCATCTAATATTTATATTCAATTTAATTTTGAAATGGAAAAATTAACCAACCAGAATTGAGTATTCCAGAGAGCTGTATAATAACAGCAAATAACTAAAGTTAAAAAAAGACTTCACCTTTTGGAAAACATCCTG